CAACTGCCCAATATTGCCTAATGGTAACCCCCCCCCCTGATCAAGCATCAGTGAGCCGCTTGGAAAGCTGGCAGGCTTGACGTCCAGAGGACAAACAGGAGGATGGGATTATGGACTGGATGTGACCTGCAGTAATTATCCCAGACGGAAATCCAAAAATAGTCAGGAAAACAAATCATGGAGGTCAAGTGTTTTCCATGACACCGTCTGCAGCCTGTGGACTCAGAAATCAGACCAGATTCAGTCTCAGCTCATTTAATCTTAATCTGACATGATAAAAATACAGCTTAAAAAAAATCAGGCAAAATATGTCAGTAAGCTGCTTCAAAAGTTTACATAGAGAAGCAAATTAAAATGTCTTTTAGCCCCTAATTTCAAAGCATTTATTAATTGTTTTATTTTGTGTGTGTGTGCAGAACAGATGAACCTGCATGTTAGGTATTGATAACCAACCTGAAGTGACTTATTTTACAAAACCTTGTAATATATATATATATATATATATATATATATATATATATATATATATATATATATATACAGTGCGTCCACATGTCACAGCTTCTTTTTAATAGCACAAACAGACCTAAAATTGTGAATATTTGTTCAGATAAATCCCATTATTAACCCCACCGTACGTACTTCCTTCTCGTAGTCCCGGTTGTCCAGGTGGCTCCTGGCCGTGAAGGGCAGGACTCTGTCCCGCTCGTATGAAGCTAACGGGGCTTTGGTGTGAGGGTCCACCGGGGTCTTCAGACACGAAGTCACCAGAATGTTGGTGCGGTGAGGATTCGCCATTGGTTAAAGTTATTATTTGTCGGTTAAACTGCTGATAAACTGAGTTATTACAGAGGAAACAAACGAGAGTCAAGCAGGCTCTGTTTCCAGGCAGCGGAAAGTGACCATAGCAACAGAGAAGCGTGGTTGCGAAGGAAGTGACGTTATATCCGGAAGTGATATTGTTTTTTGTTTTTTTTTTCACTTAAAGTCACACAACAATATATAAGCAAATAACAAACAAACAAATAAATATGCCAGGGGGTATGTCATAATAAACAAGTACAGTTAGGAGAAAAAAAACATGCAATTATACAAACATATGCGCTGGGGAGTGTCATATATATATATGTGTATGTATTATACAAATAAATATATCTTCTACAACATTAAATTGTCTAGAATTTCTAGTTGGGAACAGATTGTTATAGTTTTTTGAGCTTTCTGGAAGTAATATTGGTAAGGTTTCCTTTTCTCAAAAACAAAAACAAAAATGAGTCACATGTAATTTTTGGCAGAACATGCAAAATAGAAAATATAACACCATTTAATATAAATCACATACTATCATACAAAAATGATATTGCGAAAGATTTATCGGACATGATCAATATTGTCATGAGTATGGGAAAATATCATATACATGTATGTAAATGGAAAAATCAAGAACCTTCAGTTATATGTTTTAAAAATGAACTCAAATTCTTCTATTCATCTTTATCCTTGTTAGCAGACAAATATGGACATATACAAAAGCTATGTAACGACATGTCACGATTTCTTGTGTTTTAACTCAAGTTAACATGATTTGTCTCACTGCCTAAATAAGTATGTCTCTGTTAATTGTTGATTTTGAATTCTACATATGTCATGTTTAATATGATTTATTATAAATGCCTGTTATTTTATTTTTTTTCTGTTAATTTAATTGTACCTTCTTCCTTTGCCTTGCAAAAGTTAAGTCGTTTTTTTTCTGTAAAAACGCTAAATGGAGATTCCTACTGAAACATGTAATTAATGTTATAAACAATAAAGTTGAGGAAAAAAAAGAAAGAAAAAAACCCCTTTATTTAACCAGTATTTTACGGAAGAGGATTAGGGCCACTGAAAAAAATAAAATAAAAAAGTTAACAGATTTTTAAATTTTATTTAAAGCCAGAATTCTGAGAAAAAAGTCAGAATTCTAAGATTTAAGTCAGAATTCTGACTTTTTTCCCATACTAAATTGAAATAAAATTTTAAAATCAGTAAACTTTTTTTTTTTCCAGTGGCCCTAATCCTCTNCATATCTTAATACAGAAGAAACACAAATATAAACAGAGAGGGAACAATAATAATAGTAAAATAATAAAATAATAATAATAAAGGGGCAACATTATATTATACATAGATTCAAGAACAGGGCGTTAAACCAGCAGATTAAATTTACTCACGAAAGAAAGAAAATTACAAGCACTTTTTGTTCTTACAAATTCTAAAGATTTAACATAAGATTTTGTCTCATTTTTCCAATGGGATATAACTGGTTTATATTCTAAGTAACAGCATTTGTGTAAATAAAATGTAACTAATAGAATAAAAATATTAATACCAAAATTATGTTGAATTTTCGCAACTATACCAAATAAAGCTACTCTTATGGTAAAATCAGGTAACTTAATTCCTTTAGATTGGATCCACATCAGAAAGTCAAGCTGAAAGCTTTGGACTATAGAGCAATCCAAGAACAGCTGTTCCAGACTTTCACTTTCAACCAATATTAGTAAAGTTAACAAAGATAAATCTTCCAAAAAGGCACATTCTTAAATACTATTATCTCTGAAGGGGATTTTTTAAATTCATTCATTAAGCTAACCTAAGATGCATGGCTTTTTGATGTACCCATGGGCTCTCTGTAGGAGGCATAAAAAGAAAAACCCACAATCTCCTTTTACTAAATAAATACAACAAAAAGTTTAAAACCAGGCCCTTAATTTCTGCCACTTTTCTTCATTTTGTATTTTTATTGACCCATTCCTGCTGTTCAACCTTACACTTTTGTTTTATTTCTTTCAGTTTTTCAATACAATTGTTCCTGTTTGCTTTTATAATAAAAAACAAAACAGAACAAAAAAACAGGGAAAAATAAACACATCTTTTGAACCAGATTTAAGAAATATACGGTATATGAAATAATTATTTTTTTTTATATACTTTAATAAGGGTTTTATTCCTGAATTAAGGGTAGACCAACTTTTCTCAGATGTTTAGAATACTGGAAGATATTAGCAATATTTGCGGTTTACAATATCCAAACAATTTAAAATGAGGGTATTTATCCCATTTAAAGGTCAGATACAAACATTTTCCCCATGCCATGATAGATAGACCTCTAGTCTTCTAAGGTGTGACTATACTTAAGATGGCCCATGTGCTGGAAAAAAGAAAATACTTTCTTACTTTAAAAAATAGATCGATATCGATAGAAAATTTAAATAACTTAGTTGCCTCATTTATGCTCACATAATCCTCTTGCTGCAGCAAAGTTTATGCAAGGCCACATAATTCGATTTATCATAAATCAAGTCATTAACTAGCAGACTTTTTGAAGAGGTCTTATGTTAAAACATTTAACTTTTTAATGTTCTCCCAATTTTAGTTATTTTTATTTTAATTAGATTATCACAATTAACTCATTTGGGATTCTTTTCTAATTTATTTGATTTTTGTCATGGAAAAAAAAAAGTCTGATACCGTCTAGATGGGGATAAGGAGTGGGTAACAGTAGAGAAGCTGCAGAGGTGCGTTAAACTAGGACTCTGCTTCCTGGGTGGTCAGGGTTGATGAAGACTGACAAAATAGCACTAGAAAGTTCTAGAAAGAAGAGCTGCATCATCTAAAGTGGGATGGATGTCGACTCTCTCTGAATTATATATGTTTTTCTTTATTTTTATTATTATTATATTATATTATTTTTCTTTATTTAGCTATGATTTTAGAACCAGTTGTAAGTAATCCAAAAAGCACGTCAAGAAATACGTTTCTGAAAAGCTTTACAATTATAATTAAGGCAAAATAATCAAATAATTGCTACATTAAACATAAAAACTTTCATTATTCTGCTGTAGGAAAAAAAAAAGAAAAGGAAACCAGGCTGGAGTGTCAACAAAAAAAAGCCTTTTTTTATTTAAATTAGGCAAAGTAACAACTACAGTGGAAATCTGAGCAGACAGATGGCAAAGGTCTTTTGATCCCTCACAGAACGAACAGACTTCATATCTTCACTGGACAGACCTATCGGGTGTTCACCTGAAACACAAATAAAACTTTTCAGCCAAAAGTCATTCTGTAAAATCAAATAACAGTAAAACTGTAGATTACTTACCACATCATCAATCTTGAGAATGCTGCGGACCGTTTCTGTGGCCAGAGTAAGTGCGCTGATAGAAACCAGCAGAGGCTGAACCACCAGTTCCTCCAGGATGTTGGAGATTCCTCCCTATGACACAGAGAAACAGAAACCTCTGTTAAATCAAAACCATCAAAAGGTCCCAAAACTTGCCCGCTTTCTAAAACCCATGTGAAAAAACAGCTGCAGTACAGCTAGCTCATTGCTAGCAGAAGGTAAGCATGCTAACCTTGCGGACGTTGATGCCGGCCATCTTGTCTCCGTGTGCGTGCCTGTTTCGGAGCTCCGTCACCGTGGAGATGGGATTGAGGCCTGCGTTCTCAGCAAGCGTGGAGGGTATCACCTCCAGGGCGTCGGCATACGCCCGCACGCAGTAGGCCTCCATGCCACCCAGGGAGCGCGAGTACTCTGCCAGACGCACCGCCAGCTCGATCTCTGGAGCTCCACCTCCTGCTATCAGAGCCCTGAAAGACATCGAACCGATTAGCATTACAGCCAAATTCTATGACTCCCTCCAAACCAGGATCTGCTGTTAATGTGAGAAGGCCCTCCAGCCAAGTTGCAGAAACAACCAGGAGTTAATAAGCGGTGAGCTTTCTGCGTTATTGTTCCTCTGTTTGTTACGCCCCTGCAGGAGGAACCAAAGCAGGAGCGCCTTTGTCAGAGGATGCATGGCAGAGCCAGCGTTAAAAAAATAAAAAGTTATCATTTAAATTAGCAGAAAGGACCGACCTCTTCTTGACCAAGCAGCGAATCACACACAGCGCGTCATGGATGGAACGCTCCGCCTCCTCGATCACAAGCTTGTTGGATCCCCGAACAACGATGCTAACAGTCTTCCCTGGGCTGCTGCAGCCTGTGATCTTAAATAAGCAACGGCAAAAAGGTACAAAACAACCTCAATCTTTACTGAATTATTATTCATCAGCATCTTATTCGATAAAACAAGAGAATAGAGAAGTGAGATGGAGGGAAAAAAGAAACGAGTTCAACATTTTAACAGATCTAACCTGAAGAGTGCGGCATCCATATATATTTATACTCCTATAATAAGTCTAAAGGATTTTGTTAGCTTATAAAAAAGTATCCAAGATGGACTTATATTTGCTTTCATCATCTCCCCATTAACTTTGAACAGTGAGCCGATCGGCTGCAGAAAAGGATTCTTGCAGCAGGATGTGATGACTGACAGGTTTCAGAGAGGGAATGTCGTGTTCAGAGCTGCTTTCTATGGTGGCCCTGAAGTGTAAACTGCAACTATAAATCTAAAAGTGCAACTGCATTAAGGAAAACACAACTACATTAACCTACCGGAAAAGGTAGGTACCAGTGGGAAACATGAGGCATCGCTGATTGGACGACGGCGCCGTTTGACCCTTGAACCTAAAGTCATTCTGCCTGCTGCGGCTTTTGAAAACATGGATATTGTCGGCGCCCCAAACATAGCTGCCGTTATCCAGGAATATTTTGAATCAGGACATACGTACGAGGTGATACTGGATATGCTCAAGACTAATCACCAAATTTCAGTTAGTATCCATGTTTTCAAAAGCCGCGGCAGGCAGAATGACTTCCGGTTCAAGGATCAAACGGCGCCGTCGTCCAATCAGCGATGTCTCATGTTTCCCATGAGAAACATGACTTTCCAGTGTGGTTCTTAAAAACTTTGATTTATAAATACATAAATAATGATGATATAGAATCTAGATATGAAAGT